GCAGCGGCCAGAGATCGGCTGTGGGTGGTGGTCCTCAGGTGGTGTCCACTGTATTTTTTTTTAAAGAGATTCTCTCACTTGACCTGGAACTTACTGATTATGCTGAACTGACTAGCCAGCGAGCCTCAGAGATATTCATCTATTCAACCCCCAACCGCCCCGTGCTAGAATTATAAGCACATACCGCAGTGCCTAACTTTTTTTTAGTTATTGACAAAAGTTTTTTTCATATAATCTATTCTGATCATGCTTTTTCCCTTCTCCAACCCTTCCCGGACCCTCCCCACTGATCTACTGACCCACACCGTTCTGGTGCTCAGACTCTGGTCCTCATGCTTATATAGCAGATTCTTCGCTGACTGAGCTATCTGCCCAGCCTCTTGAGCATTTATTTTATCAGCGCCATCTATGCCTTGCTGACTGTAGAAATCAGTCTTTCAAAATAAGTGAACTCAAGTGCAGTTTTACAAGACTGAGTGCTGCTTTGCTCCAGGGAGGTTCTAGTAAGATCTCCGGATTTTATGTTTGAGAGACTAACTTTGGTAATATGTGAACAGAGGTGATTATAATTTCAAAGATTTTTGTATCATTTTAATCTCCAGAATGAGTAAGCCCCAGATGGGTTAGTTCTAGATGCCTATCCATAATGTGTATCTGGAATGTCCTGAAAGGGTAGGACCATGTGAACATTTTATTCCCCATGTAACACCTATTATATTAAAAAAAATTAAAAAAGAATTGCCAACCTTAACTGTAAACTATTTTTTTGGATGATTCATCTGGAGTCGTCTGTGTCTGGTTATCCAATGCCTTGAAATAAATCTCTGTAGAATGACTGTTGTCATTGCATGGAGAATTCCTTGGAAAGAAGGACATCACAGTTGAGCAGAGAGAACAAGAGAAGACTCTTCAGGTCATGTGAGTTTTGTGGAGTTTTATGTTAAGTCTGTTTGCAGTAGGCTCATGGAGCTCCACTCATGCAGCTCTATAAATCTGCATTACTCAAAAAGTGTCACTTCCTTTCTTCTTTCCCTCTCCGTCTGGGCATGCTTTCCCCACAGTCTGGGCTTCATTCTTTCCTCAGCACTCCCCTCCTCACCATGTGCCTGCTTGTCTGCCAGGCTGGTGACCTCAGTGCCAGTTTAACTCAAACGGCCTGGCCTTTTCTCTTCATTCATGCTACGTTTTCCAGGCAGCTGCAGAGATTTATAGCTTGCTTGTCCTGGAGTTTTTTTTTTTTCACATTTTAATAAAAATTTCCTTGAGCTTCAAAAAGAGTTGGAGTGCATCAGGGACCAGCATGAAGTGAAGTTGAAAGATTTGGGGTGGGCAGAATTATATGTTTGGTATAAATGGTGACTCATTTAAGGGAATATGTCTGACAGAAAAGACCAGTGATTCTAACTCTAAGCCTTAAAGAGTGGACAACTGAGCTTTAAAAATAGCATTTTAGGAATTATCAACCTACCTCATTAAAATCAATGGGGGTATGGACTCTATACCTAGGCAGAAGTATAGATAGAGTACAGAGATGGGGTAGAATTGGATTTTGGACTATTAGAGGAGGAGCCAGCAAGGAGACTAAATGGGAGCAGGCCACAAGCTTGGAAAGTCAAGAGGGGAAGATTGTCATGGAAGCAGTTGACTCTCAGATACTGCTGAGAGTCACAAAGATGAAAGTAAGTGTGTCCTGGGTGTGTTAAGGGGAAAGTCACTGAAACCTTTAACCAGAGCCTTTAGAGGTGGCAGTGAAAGTCTAGGGATGGATTGGGTAGCTAGAGCAGCAAGACTGCTATGAATTTGTCCATCAAGGCTGGAAGGGGCAGAAAAGCATGTTTTCTTTTAACTGTAGCTACCAGCTGGATATATCTGAAGACTCATCAGTAGATAGGAAAGAACAACGTTAAAGAAGTATCATATCTCCGAGAAAGGATAGAATTCAGACAAGAAGAATTACGCTTCCTAGACATGTGTCTGTACTGGCCTCCTCCTGTGCTGGGCAGGTGAGCAGCTGCTGAACTGCACCCCCAGTCGTCCTTTCTTCTCTGTGACAGGCTAGGAGCGCACGGTTTCTAGGAAGACAAGAGAAGGCGTCTCTGATGCTTTCTGGTGTCCCAGTGAAACCCAGTGTGATGTTATCAAGTGAGCATGGAGACACTGGAGAAAATAAATGAGCTCCAAAGAGAGACAGAGAGAGTCTGAAGTGGTTGTTGAAGCTGGTGGGATGATAAGCCTCGGAGAGTCACAGGCTGTTGAGTCTTGGCAGAGTGCCAAATTGTACCGTGGACTACCAGGACTAAACTGAACTCTCTACAGCAGAGAGACAAAGTGGGGCTGCAGAGTTGCGCATTCAAAGTATTTGTAATCTAGAGAATAAAATACACAATTAAGTATAATGCAATATGATAGTTGTGCTATACAAGGTAAATATGAGGTGTTGTGAGAGCACACACTCATCAGTCTTAGGAAGGGGCCAGCCTGTACAGGGCAATCTTTCTGGAGCCTTAACAGCTAGGCCAGTTCCTGATTGCTAGCATACCTGCATCAACACATCTTTATATAACAGCTTGTTTTCCCTCTGTATGCTATAAGAAATACCTGGTCTTGGGAAAGTGCTATTTCCTGTTTCTTTCTCCCTCATCTTTTTCATCTTCCCCAAGTTCCAGTTGTTAGAAATAGAAACTTCATAAGAACTTATAGAATAAATTATTACTTATAAATGATATTTTAAAATTTCATTTGATATGGCTAGTATCTTTTTTCAAAGTAAGTAGTAATTTAATTTTATGCTATTGTAATTAGGAATATTTGATTATTTGGTATCCATCTTTAATTTTTATCCCATCAGTTTTGGTTCATTAACCTTTGTAGCATTCCAGGGAACTATACCACTTGGAAGATTCTAATTTTCTTTAAGAATAAAATCTGAACTGGGCGGTGGTGGCACATACATTTAATCCTAGCACTCAGGAGGCAGAGGCAGGCAGATGTCTGTGAGTTCGAGGCCAGCCTGGTTTACAAAGCTAGTTCCAGGATAACTAGGGCTGTTATACAGAGAAACCCTGTCTCCATCTCCTACCCCCACTCCCCAAAGAATAAAATTTGTGACTGGATTTAGTTATCTGTTACAACATAAAGCAAAGATCTATTTTTTAACATCATTTAAAATTAGAATTGATAGTAGATTTTTGTAACTATGCCATGTTGTGAATTTTGTAGGGTGAACTTAGTTTTATATTTAAAAGCCTTTTAAAGATGTAGGTGATAAATGATAAACTAAATTTAATTGTATATTTTGTGCTTTCACCCACATATGCCACAATGCTTGAACACATTCATACACACACACACTTGCATGCACTCATGTTTATAATCTTTTCAATGTTTTTTAAGAGTAGAAAGTCCCAATTTTTATGAAATCCAGTTGTCTTTTTTATTTTATGAGTTGTGCACTTGCTGCTTCGTGAAGTATTGTCAGCTTTAGCTCACAAAGATGGCATCATACAGCTCTTCTTCTCAACGCTTGTAGTTTCCTGTTTTACATTTTGGTCCATTTTGAGTCAATCTTTATTTTAAGTGTGTGTGTGTGTGTGTGTGTGTGTGTGTGTGTGTCTATGTTCGCATACCTGTGTCTGTGTGTGGACACTTGCATACTGTGGTGCATGTATGGAGATCAGGGACAACCTGCAGGAGTTGGTTCTCTCTTTTCATCATTTGAGTCCTAGGGATCAAACTCAGATCATGTGTCTTGGCAGCAAATACTGTTTCTGCTCAGACATCTTGTTGGCCCCTGAGTTAATTTTTGCAAATATGCAACGTGTGGCTCAGAGTCTACTTTTTGCTTGCATCAATCTAGTATTGTATGACATTCAGTGCTGTGTTTCATCCACTTTTTTTTTTTTAAAGCAAGTTTAAAAGGTTATGCCAAGCTGCCAGTTGTCTTTGGCTTGGTAAGTTTGCACTGCTTCCTGGAGCTTCATAAAAGGATGCCTTGTGGTTGAACTCCCTCAACCTCAAATGTCCAACCTTCAGACTCCGCCAATAAAGTGTTATTTACATATTCTTTGGAAATATAGCATACACTATAGATAATTGCAGCATCTGTGTAGTGGGCAGAGAACACTGCCAAACCAAAATTCTAGAAACCAAGCTAGACAAATACACATGGGTTAAGAAGTGCTCCTAAAGTATGAGAAACTAAAAATAAGTTTCTTGTGGGAACTGTCTACCACTCTCTGATCTATTAGGCTTTGTTTTCCTTTACTTAATTAAAAAAGAGCTTCACAATCAAACTTTAGAATGAGTATTTAAGAATATGTATTAATATATTTCTTCTGAACAGTGGCTTAAAGAATAGGAAAACAGCAGAGTATAGTTTAATGTATATAGCATTGTGCAGTCTAGTTGAGAAATAAGAAAGTTTTCCATTCAACTGTGAATTGCTACTTTTCAGTAGAAAAACATAATTCTTGGCAGGGGCTAATGCAGCAATTTTTGGTAGATAATCATGTAGCATAAAGTCAGAGAGATCTGGGTTTTTACCAACACTGTTGAGCTTACAAGCTGGAGAGCTCTGGGAAGATCCTGTCCAAAGTTCCAGTGTCCTTGCCACTAAAACAGTAATAATAATAGTTACCCCTTCTGGGTTGTTAAGAAATTTAAATAAAATGCTACATCCAGACTGGCACTGTTCTGAACACAGTACGTTCAATACATGTTTGTTTCTCTGTTTTGAGGGGTGACCTTTGAATCAGGGATTCTGTACGAAGAACCTGTGTTTGTTCCTATTAGATTTGGCAAAAATTATATATGACCCCTTTCCTCTCACAAATCCCCAGAAAGATTCATTTTTATTATATTCTTTCCTTACCAACAGACTGAAAATTGGAATGGTATTAAAACTGCAGGGTATGTTACAGTAGTATGTTCAAGGTATACTCCATTGCATAACTGGATTTATAGATAATTGATTGAAATAATTCAGATCTACTCCTTTCCAGGATTCGAAGGATGGGATGCAGAACTTTATAGTCGACACCGCTTTCCCAGCAGCTTGTGGTACTTTTTTTACCCTGTGGGTCCTGGAGCTTGAACTCAGACTTTCAGGTTTTGTGGCGAGTATCCATGTCCATCTTTTGTACCAATTTTAGAATTATTTTAGATTTTTCTTATACTGATTTTAATTGAATGTCCATTTCACATGTGTTTAGAAGTTATAGAGCCAGATTACAGACAGCTGAGTGGCAGGGGACACATGTCATGTCTACAGAAGTTATAGAGCCAGATTACAGACAGTTGAGTGGCAGGGGACACATGTCATGTCTACAGAAGTTATAGAGCCAGATTACAGACAGCTGAGGGGGGGGGACACATGTCATGTCTACAGAAGTTATAGAGCCAGATTACAGACAGCTGAGTGGGGGGGACACATGTCATGTCTACAGAAGTTATAGAGTCAGATTACAGACAGCTGAGGGGGGGGGGACACATGTTCTAGCTGCTCCTAGGACTTTTCAGATTGACTGCATCACATCCCTTTGAACGCATTTAGTGACATCAGCTGATAATTAGAAACTGTGCAGTCTTTCATCTGATCTTTTTGTGCTGATATTAGATGGTAGTCATAAACTCACGAGCTCATCCACAAATAACACAAGTTATTAAAAAGATTAAAAAGATTAATGAGATAGCTTAATTCATATTATAAAGTAGTTCATCTTTTCTGAAGAAACAGACTTCACTTATACCCAAGGCTTTAGAGCATGCTTTTTAGTTATAAAGTTTATTTTTTAGCAAAGTATGATAGGGAGATAGTTCAGTTAGTAAAATACTTGCTGTTCAAGCATAAGTTCCTGTGTTTGACCTTTAGAGACAATGTAAAAATGCCGAGTGTGGTAGTCCCAGCACTGAGGAGGCAGAGACAGGTTGGTCCAGGAGCTCACCAGCCAGTCAGACCAGTGAGAGATTGTCTTAACAAAGTGGACGGCACCTGAGATTTGCCACTTGAGAACTGACACCCAAGAGTGACCCTGGCCTTTACACACATACACACATGTATCCCTATACACATGAACATGCACACGTACACACAAGCACACAAAAATATGTGAGACTAAAAACTAAGCTTTTCATGGTCAGCCAAGTTCCTATGTATTTATGGTTCCTTGTCATATGAAAACCACTATTATTTTACTATTACTTTTACCAAGTTTGCATTCGAACTTAGACTAAGAGAATAGAATATGGTATCAACTGTTAATGTTTATTACAACCAAAGTAGTTCAAAATAACATTTAAAAATTACTTCCGTTTTATTATGTACTGTGTGCCTAGTTTTAACATGTAAACCAAGGAAAGTTTACTTTCCACCTACTACAGCATAAATATTAATTTTACTGTGAAACAAGCGTCTTTGAGGAGCTGAATATAATGGGAAATACCTCCACCCCATTTCTTTGACCAAATTATTGATCAAATTTTTTGTTCATTTTTTAAGAGAAAACAAAAATGTGAGAAATCCTCAGAGCATAACAGATATTTTATCCCTCAAAAGGTATATTTCCTTATATCTTCTGAAAAATTGGTCTTAATTTTCAAACACCTTTATCCTAGTCATAACTGTCTTTTTTGAGTAATCGCTACTTATGTATATATCTTTAGAAGCTTTTCTACCTGCTGCTGTCCTCAGAGCTGTTCCCCAATGAACTGTAATCGGGTTTAATGTCATTCTTCCCATAAGGTATTTACTAAAGAATCATCATGTTCCTGGCTGTTCTTGTAACAAAATATACAGTGATGGGGGGGGGGGGATGAAAAGAACTTGCATTTTTAGAGTTTATGTTCTACAAACAGATACTAAGCAAGTATATACGTGAATGTGCAATAAAGTATTAGTTTGTGATAAATGCTAAGAAGGAAATCAGTAAGACAGGAGTCATTCTAAGTGATCATTGAAAAATATTTCTTTTTCAGATCGCTGCACATAATTTTTTTGCTTGTCTTCTAAAATTGCTTTTGACTATCTTTGCTAGTGATGTTAAAAAAAGAAATTAAGAATTGTGTATACAGAGCAATCTGAAAATCTAACTCTAATTAGTGAATTTAGCATTTGCAAATGGAGGTGTCTGCAGAGAAGTCAATTCTTTGGCTGGTTTACTTGTAGTAGTGAAGTCTGCAGCTCAGGAAGTTGGCAGTTCTGCAGTGGCCTCACTGTGCAGCAGCCCCCGGGGACCTCAGAGAACCTGTTGTGCAGCACCAGGTTACAGGTTGTTATTCGGCTCTGGGGCTTAGCGCTTAGGTGTTCATTCTCTTACATCTTCTTCGCTTAGTCATTCAGAATCTTGTATTTTTGCCAAGTAAAACAAATCCCATACTAATAAGCTATAAATAAACAGTAGGAGCATGAGTCGGAGCCAGCGTCAACCCTCTTTCCCCTGTGTACCTCCCTGGTACTCCCCAGTATGTTCATTTTGCCCCAATGAGCAGTCCTGTGTAGCTCCTGTTCTATAGACCGACTCTAGTTACTTAGTTGTATTTCTTTAGAACTAAATAATAGTGTAATGCGTAGTACTCTGGCATGTTCCCAGAGAACCTCTGTGTGCTTTTAGTGGGGGAAAAAATATATTCTCTCTTTTCCTATAGAAAACCTTAAAAGTTCGGTCTAGAAAACATCTGCCAGATTTCCAAAAGAACTACTATGTGGTATGGCATAGCTCAGCAGTTTTTCAGGGGAAAATGAAAAGTAACATAAATGGCTTAAAAGCCCTAACCTGTTAGTCAGGTTCTTCCTAATAAAATTTGATCCTATTTTGCTTCATTGTTTATTCATTCCATACATTTTCACACTTGCTGTTTCCGTGTGCTACTTATCATGTATAAAAACAAGGAAGTGGAGATCTTTGTTGTCTAGGGATTAGTAACAGTGAGGGGGAAAGTGACTTATCAGCAGGGTGACAGGAGCTCTAAGACAAAGATGTAACCCAGAATGCCCTGCGGTAACACATAAACTCAGTGTTTATGATGCATTCACTGACGTGACTGTGATGTGTAAGACAACCCATCCTATCTCTGTATGTAAGACAGTCTCATGATGTAGTGCTCATAGGCTCTGGAGCTGCTCTGGGTGCACTAACTTCAAGGAGGGAGAAGGTATCAGGAAAGGTAGGAAGCGCTCCTCAGGTTGATTAGAGAAGGATGCAGAGCCTGAGAGGGAATGTGAGACAGTGTGGCCTTTCTCGTGATGTGAGAGACGCCTGTGTGCATGGGTAGGACTCTCGAGAGAAGAACGGTTGGAATGCAGAGTGGGTTCTGGGAAATAGAACATGGCAGAATCACAAAGGAACTTGTGGGCAACGCTTAAGGACTGATAAGAGATAGACAGAAGACAGATAAGAGCAGACTTGCATTTCATGAATAAACTGTGTAGTGTTTGCATAGGCATTTAGAAGGGAGTTTTTACTTCTAAGGGAAGGAATTTCTCCTCCAGCCTGACTTATATATATTAAATTCACATAGAAACATGAAATTGAAATCTGGAAGCTCCATATTTTAGTTTCGCAGCTCTAAGACTAAAATAGTTATGTAAGTTAAATGTAAGTAACATTGTAAAGATAGAAATCAAATCCACGTGAGTCTATGTAATAGTCCATGCTTTGGGGACATAGTCATACAAGTGAGGGGGGCACTGTCTTGCTGCTAGTATGTAAACATTCCCATACTATTGAGTGCTTAATGCTAACTTAACTAATTCTGCTTCTCCCCCCAACTATTTTTACCCTCCCCCTTAAAAAAAAGCAAAACAGAAAAAGGTTGTTCTGTCTGTTTGACGGTTGTTTAAAGGAAATAGAAAAAGGATTATCATATCTAAAAACCATTTCTCTTTGACCCATCATTTTTCCTTAATGGGATTTTTCTTCAGGAGTTTCCTCAACTGTGTTTGCCAAGGATGAAACCAGCATATGGCGTGCTTGCCTATACACACTTGGCTCTAAAGTTGCTGAGAAAGTTACTTCCTAAGCAAGAATTATTTAAATGCAAAGCTGAGATTTCTAACTCTTTCTTTCTTTCTTTCTTTCTTTCTTTCTTTCTTTCTTTCTTTCTTTCTTT